CTTCTTTACAACATGACTAACATGAAAACAGTTTTCATATGAATGTATATGTTGAGCCTATATCAATTTATATGCCATTTTGAGATGAGGGGAGGGGAGAGATGGGGAGAACATTTGGAACTCAAAATCTTATGGAAGTGAATGTTGAAAACTAAAAATAAATAAATAAATTTGTATTTAAAAAACAAAGAAGTAATGATCAAACCCAGGCCTTCCTAACTCCAACACTCTATCCAGTATTCTATTCTATTCTACTTACTGGATACCAATAGCACAACTGCTATTGTGTAAGGGATGTTAAAACAGAATTCTCAGACTCAAAAAGGTTGGAAATTCCTGGCCTGAAGGCTCTCTAAGGTCCTTCCAGAGCTAAATCTTCTGATCCTACTAACTACTTGAACCACTAACTACCACCTGAAATCTCTTCTGCAACATTAAACGATCAAGCTTCCTCAGAGATAAGATTCAACTCAGGTCAACACTCCAGAACTGGTGAGGAAACACCTGTGACCATAAAAGAGATTTTAAACGCCCATTAGAAATGCTATTGTTGGTAATTTCTCATAAGGAAATTTAACCTGACACCTGGCCATGCCCAGGTTGGGGCACCCGACTAAGCTAATCCATTTATGGATACTTCAAAAATACGAAAAGGCAAAAAGCATAATTTTCCTTCCTTGAAACCCAAATTAGATGATAGGTTGTTCTTCTTGTTGCTTTTTAATATTCATATAGACAAGGGAACAAATCAAAATATTTCAACACACAGGGAAGAGAAATGGCAATTAAAATGTCTTTCCTTTGTTGAAAAAACAGAGCTATATACTTTAAAATGTTCTTTAATATGATTTAGACAAGGCCAATCCAAATTCAATAAAAGGAGATAAATTTTGCATCTCCTGAAAGCTCCTATTAAGCTGGCAATCCCAAAACTCAGAATCCCAAAAGCTTGAATAACCAGATTAAAAACAAAGTGACCAATTTCTTGAGACAGGTGGCTCACTAGACAGAATATGCTAGGCCTGTAGTCAGGAAGAACTGAATTCAAATCTAGCCTCAGACACTTTCTAGCTGTGTGACCCTGGACAAATCACTTAACCTCCGTTTGCCTTAATCCACTGAAGATGGAAAAGGCAAACCACTCCAAATATCTCTGCCAAGAAAACCCCACATCCAATAATGTGCTATGGTCCACAGGGTCATGAAGAGTCAGACACCACAAACAAGAATAACAAATCTCATACCAACGAAACTGAAGGCCCTAAGGGATTCTTCTGTTTCTCCAAGATCCCTCTTAGGATACAATGAGCAGGACAGAGGGAATGGAGCCTTGTACCACTCCATGAACAAAGCGACTGTTTGCACGAGTAAATCGAACTTTCTCTTTTTCTCACACAGACCCACACACACGCACATAACTTCTACATGGATTGCATTCGGGAAGATGAAAGTGCCATTATATAACAATTTCTTTGGAAGAAACAACCAACAGGCAAAGGTTTCAGAGACTGCTGAGAGGCACTTGCAGTCAGGAGAAAGAAAGCACTACCTCAGAAATTAGGAGATGAGCTGCTGACCTGGTATTGTCACTAATTTGCTTTGTAATCGAAACTACATATTCTTTTCCCTCTGAGGATTTCAGTTTCTTCCTCAGTAAAATGAGGCAGGGGGAATGCAGAAAATGTAAGATTTGTTTCATTTTTTGTCTCTGTATCCCCAGCACTTAGCACAGCTCTGACACATAGCAGGCGATTAATAAAAGCCTTTGGATCAACTGATGGAGAAGATCATTAAGTCAGTCAAGAAGCACTTATTAAGCACCTACTAAGTGTCAGGCACTGTGTTAAACACTCGGGATCCAATGGCGAAAACAGAAACAAAATTCTAGTCACTACTCTCGTGGAGCTTGCAAGTTCTAATGGGAATTGGGGGGTGCCTCAGGGGACAATACAACTACGTACAAATAAACTACATATACCATAAACTGGCAGTACCACACGGAGGAAAGGCACCAAGTATGAAGAAAGAATCGACAAAGCCTTGTCCTAGAAGGTGGAATTTTAGTGGGGCCTTGAAAGAAGCCAGGGAGGCTACGAAGCTGGGATGAGAAGAGAATTCCTGGTCTGAGGGCCTGCCAGTGAAGATGCCCCAAAATAGGAGATGGCGGGGCCCGTAAGGACCCTACCAACTCCAGTGTTCAATGATTCTATGCCTACAATGCATCTGCTAACCCACAAATAACCTGATGAAACTAACTGAATTCAAGGAATCTAGAGAATTCTAGGGTTGGCTGGTGAAAGGCTCCTCCACAGGTTGGGAAACGATAAAGATCATGCTGAAGAGTGATATTCCTAGGTCAGGAACTGTATTGTTAAGAGACTTGTTTTTAACCCAAGAGTCTAATCCACTTCGTTTAAGAAGGCTTGACCCTCTAATTTTTCTGTAAAAAAGGCAGTCTCTGCCAAAAATAGATCCAGTCCATTCTGGGGGACTCAGAGTGTTTTTACACGTACCTCTGAGGTTGGGTGGGATTTTGAGATGGGAAACTGATGTAATTGTTATAGTATCCCTGATTATTGTCAGAGCCTCTCAGGGGCCAAGTACTTAAGACATAGTCCATTTAACCTCCACACTTGTTAGGGTGATATCTCAGGAGCAACTGGGTCCTTTCAAATCTGTACTAAAAGAGGCTACAGTCTAATGGAGGAGACAACATGCAAACAACTAGATACAAACAAGAAATATACAAAATAAACTGGAGATAACTTTTGTTACAGGTGTCACTGACCAGGGCTGGTTTCAGGGGGATGCCCACAATGCTGCTTTTCCATATGTTTCAGTAACGGGAGAGAATATGAAATCAACAACATGGGCCCCCACCCCCACCCCCATGAGAGAGAAGATGATCACATACACAGGTAACGGATACTTTGTGGGCTATGTTGGGAAGTAAGTTCATAAGAATACCATAGTAGAGAGACAGTATGATATATAGTGGCATGAGCACCACATTAAGAACTGAAAACAAGGTTCTAAGCATTTAAGTGATGCAATGGATAAAGTGGAGGAAGACGAGTTCAAATTTGGACTCATGCTTTTTGTCTGGATAAGTCACTTAACTTCTGTTTGCCCAGTTTTCCTCAACCTCAATAACAGCACCTACCTCCCAGGATTGTTAAGAGGATCAAATTATATAATATCTGTAAAGTGCTTAGCACAGTTCCTGGCACAGGGTTGAGTCATTTTTCAGTTGTCTGGCTTTGTGACCCCATTTGAGGTTTTCTTGGCAAAAATACTGGAGTTTGCTATTTCCTTCTCCAGCTCATGTTACAGATGAGGAAACGGAGGCAAACAGGGCTAAGTGACTTGCCCAGGGTCACACAGCCGTCTGGGGCCAAATCTGAACTCAAGTCTTGCTAACGCCAGGCTCAGAGCTCTAAACACTCTGCCACCTAGCTGCACATAGCAAAAGCACGGTATTCCTTTCTCTTCCCTTCTATGTATTCCCTTTTCCTCCCTTCCCCTTCTAGATCCAATACTCTCACTAATTAGCTGTGTGATCTATAATAAGTCACTTAATTTCTATGAGCCTCTAGTTTTTCATCTGACAAAAAAAAAAAGAGAAGATTGCATCAGAAAATCTGCAAGATCCATTTTAGGCCTAACATGGCATGGTTCTCCAGGTAAGGACAAGGGAGAGAGAGAGAGAGAGACAGACAGAGAGAGAGACAGAGACAGAGAGAGAGACAGAGAGACAGAGAGAGACAGAGAGAGACAGAGAGAGACAGAGAGAGACAGAGAGAGAGACAGAGAGAGAGACAGAGAGAGAGACAGAGAGAGACAGAGACAGAGAGAGAGTGAGTGTGTGTGAGTGTGTGAGTGTGGAATGTGTTGAGTGTGTGTGTTGAGTGTGTGAGTGTGTGTGTACACACAGAGAAAGAGAGAAAGGGGTGAATGAGACCTATGCATTTGATTATGTGCACAGGATTGGTTAACACTTAAGTGGAGGATTTGTTTCCATGTGTATCTAATATTTAACAACATTAAATAAATGGTTGTTAGTGCTATCAATGTCTTCATCTATAAAAAGGAGATAATACTATCTTCCCTACACTTTATAGTGTAGTAATAGTGGCTTTCTAATGCCATGCACTTCTCCATGTAATAGTAGAAATAACTAACAGCCAGCACTTATATTAGCACTTTCAGGTTTGCAAAGTGGTTTACATATTTTGGCCTGGGTCTGCCACTCAATAACATTGGGCAAGTCATACATATCTCTACAAACCTCATTTGTAAAATGAGGGTATTTGACCAGATGACATTTTAAGGTCTCTTCCTGTATGAAAAAGTATGTAAAAGCATGACCTTTCTCACAAGGTGTGTAGAGTAAACAAAATAATGGATATTAAGGCCCTTGGAAAATTATAAAAGCTTTATGCAATTTTTGAAAATCCCTTAAATAAGAGGTAAGGATCTTGTTAAAAATGATGCATGAGGCTTCTAAGCCTATAGTTATGGTAGGGAAGAAAGGTAGAGCCCTAAAGGTAAGCAAACCAGGATGTATACTGGAAAGGTTGAAAAGGAAAGGTCTTGGTATAGAACAGGGAAACTGGTGTCAGAACCTAGATTCAGGGGCTCTGCTACTTCCTATCTGTGTGACCTAGTGAAGGTCACAAGCTCTCTGAGCCTCAGTTTCCTCCTCTGTAAAATGATGTGGTTGGACCATACAGGAGCACACTGTGGTATAGCGGAAAGAGTAATAGATTTGAAGTCAGAAGACCTTAATTTAAATCCCACCTTTGCTGCCTACCAGCTGTGACCTCGGGCAATGTCACTTCACCTCCTAAGGCCTCAGTTTCCTTAACTGTAAAATTCGGAGGTTGGGCCAGAAGACCCATAAGGTCCATTCCAGCTCCAAATCCTTTGATCCCCAGTGGCCTGGAGCTATAGGGCAGTACTGTGGGGACCGAATCCGGAGCTCTCCTCCTGCTTCTCACCTGCATCGTAGAAGGTGTCCAGCACCGCAGTCTCCCCGAAGTCCAGCTCCCCGAAGTTGACGGTGGCAAGGTGGGCCCCCTCCGCCTCACATGCCCGTTGGAGGCACTGCAGAGCCCCAGCCTCGGGGCTGCACCCCGCCCCGCCCTTGGGGCTGTCGTTGAGCACATAGACCGCGCGCAGAGAGCGCTGGCGGCCTCCCGACTGGCACCCACCACTGCCCTCCCCGCCGTCGGGGGCCACCCCTGCCCCATCCAGCCCGTTTCCAGCCAGCTCCCCGGCATCTCCCCCGGGGTGAGGCTGCTGGGGCGGCTGCTGCTGGGTTTGCTGAGGCTGTTCCGTCGCGGCCGAAGGCGCCCCAATGGGGGAAACGCCGCTGCCCACTCCGCCGCTCTCCATAGGGGCTACCTGCACCTCCCTGTCCCACCGCCCTCACATGTATGTCCCAGTCAGGAGCGGGGGCAGAGGCAGGGACAGGCCACCAGAACCCAGGCTGAGGACTGAAAGGAAAACGGAAGGAAGGTGGCCCAGGGTGGAGGAGACCGGAGGGAAGAAAGAAGGAAGGTGTCTCCGAGTGGAGAAGGAGAGAAGGGAGAAAGGTGGCCCGGGGCGTTAGGTTAGGATTGCAAAAGCCTGGCTTAGAAGCAGAGAGAAAGGAAAGAGAAATTCTAGAGCCAGATAAGAAAGGTCTGACCCGGCTGAGCCGGGGCTGGCTGAGAACTGAGCTAGCAGCAAAGCCCTGAAGCAATAACCAGCTATTAAAACTTCTAGCCTGACACCTGCCCCCCTCCCTCCCTCCCTCGGGGCTAGAGCCAAATCGTGAGGGGGTGGAGAGTGCCCCCAGGAACTGGGAGCTGCAAGCTCTGCTCAGCTCTCCCCTCCCCTCCTCTCCCGCGGGGCCGGCCTTTACCCTCCACCCCTGGCCTCAAGGACTTGGGCGGGCGGTCAGTCGGTCGGTTCTCCTTGCAGTCCACCCGCCTCTTCAGCCGCCTGATTTTTAAAAGTCCTAGTTGGCCTGGAGCAGGCGGGATTCCGGCGTGGGCCGCCTGCAGCTGCCCTCGCTGTCAGCTGGTAGCCAGCCCACGGACCTGACCCTGACCCTCGGGGCAGTCCCCAAGCCTTCCCTGGCTGATCAGCAGAGGGCGGTGCTGGTAGATTCCGCAGTAGAGAAGCGCCCGGGGCGCCGGACGCACGGAGCCTCTGGCTGGGTTCTTTGGCCCCGCACTGTCCTTTGAAAGTGGAGGTGCCAGAGGCTGGGGTTTGGGGCATTGATATAGGTATGGGTCAGCGACCAAGAGCCCTGCCCTCTTCCTGCCTGCTCTGCAGCGCACAAAAGTCGGACCCTGCGGGGAAAGAGGTTCTAGGTATTCGTAGCTCCTCGGGCCTCCCGCCAGGGTTAGGTTCTAAAGACCCTCAGAATCGGTGCACGTTGCTTTACCTTTTCCCCATCCCTGCTGGCAGCTGTTCTTTCCAACGACTTTGGGCTGTCGGGGAAGTTGCAGTTGGCACATCCGCGCTAGGAATTTGTCAACTCTCTAAGAAATAAACTTTAAAATTGTTCATGCAAAAAAAAAGTTTTTAAATTTTAAACGCTGAACCAAGATCCGGGTGATTAATGAAAAGACCACTCTGATTTTAGTATTCCCTCTTAGGCAGGTGTCTGACTTTGACCACGACCTTGGACAGGATATTCTGGCCATAAGCCTGAGAACATATTGCTCATTCATCTAACTCACTAAAACGGACCTTACTGCGCAACCTTATCAAGTCCCAGGAAACCAGAGTAATCTTTATGATGAACTTTTGTGCACATATGGTAGAAAGGATTTTAATTTAAATGCTTAGAGATAATATACTGGAAACACTCAGCTGATACTCCTCTAGATTGTTAGAAAGGAGAAGTAAACAATTCTTTTTAATGAAAACAAACATTGCAGTTTTCCATTAGGTTTTAATGATGACATGCAAAGCAAAACCAGAAACCTGAGAAAAACATTTTAAGCTAATAAAAAGCACCAGTGTGGAAACTGACAGGCATAATTCAGACAGAAGAGAAATTATGAGCTTTGTCTTTCCCAGACAATGTTTGTCCTTAAAGAGAAAACGCAGGTATGTGACCAATTAATTGAAAATGTATTGCAAAGGCTTAGTGTAAATTAATAAAGAAGTAAAGGAAATGAGAACATTGGAAAAGTTAGATGAACTTTAATAAAGTGTCTTTTTCCATATGATACTTTAACAGGACACAGAGTTTTTCTTTCCAATGTGTTATCATTTTTTTCTTAAGAACCTGTTCATTTTGCTGTTATCTCGATGAGTGCTATGGATTTGAAAGGAAAATAATGCTTGTTCCAAAATAATTTGTCATTAATCCAAGAAGTAAAGCTTGGGTGCTTTTACCAGCACCCATTTCAGTCCTTCCTAACAGTTTTTCTTTTAACTCTCATCCTGAGACCTGCTGTCCAAGTATAATGAAACAGTACATTATGAAATTTTGCTTGAATAATTTTCTCCTCTTAAAACAAATCCTGCTGAGTAGAGATAAAGCAGGGCTTAGGCTGCTAATAAATACTGTTCCCTCTGCTTGTCTGTTACATACAGTACTTTCCTCTCTGATTTGCATTCAGCAATTTGTACACCTGAAAAGTGTTACAACCCCACACAGCTGCCCTAGCTGATAGCAAAAATCCCACATATGTTTAGCTGTTTAATTGGACCATTCATTATTCATTACTACTATCAAGTGCAAATCCTATGGACTAATTTTGTTGTAATATAGATAGGAGTTGATCATCAAAGGACTGCCTGGCAAGCAATTTGTTAAATTCTGATTATGGACCAGGCACTGTGCTAAGCCCTAGAGATACAAATACAAGCAAAAAAAAAAAAAAGACAGTCCCTGGCCTCAAAGAGCTTACCTTCTAATGGAGGAACACAACGCATAAAAGGGAACTGAAAAAGTGGTAGACAGAATAGAAAGTATCAGTGTTTGGGTTTGGTGGCAAAGTCTAGTAGAGCCAGAATCATAGCTGAGAAAAGAATGAAGCATGGCCAGCCTCTCCCCATCTGCAAAATGGAGGCCTCCAGAAGGAACTCACCAACAAGAGAAGGGAAGGAAGACCAGCATGACAACATCTTCATTAAAAAATTGTATTGAAAAAAATAATATAAATAGTTTTTTTTTCTTTTTAGCAAATAATGACAAAAAGAACAACTAAAAATGTATACTGGGCTTTATGGAAAACTGTGGTTTCTTCTCCCTGAGCATTCTGTCTACATTGCTATAAATGTCCTCAGCACTTTTGGTTGAATACAATGTATTTCACTTGGGGGGGGCAGAACTTTTCACTTAGTAATGCCGTGCTTAAATATTTCTTATCCAGTCAAAAATGGAAACCTAGGGGAAAAAAAATACAAGAGATGACAAATGAATTAAAGTTTCATTTATGGCATAAAATTCTAGAATAAATACACATACATACATTTCCCCTCTCAATCCCCCAAAGATTTGTATCTCTGCAGACTTATCCTGATACCCCAACCATTTCCTTCTAAACCCTATAATTAGTGACTCCAAAGTACCAATAGTGCTTACTCTTTCTGCTCATTATTATTTATTATAGTAACATTATTATTATTATTTATTATATTAATGTACTGCATTAGCTTGTGCTCATATGTTGCTTCACAAAGTCCTACTCTGGTGCTTCATGACAGTGTAGAAGGGACCTGGGTACTCCAAGATTATGTCAGCAAAGTAAAAGACTACCAAAAGGGTTCATGACACATGTGCACACCCAGTGGTTAAGAACCCCTATTTTAAATCATCTATAAACGTCAGTTGGGCTGTTGGTATTGTAAATGGAGATTCCTGTCTAATGACCAACAAGTAGGCAAAATGTGATCAAATGACATGATATTTTTAAGCACTTAGCACAGTGCCTGAAACAGTAGGTGCTTAATAAATGCTTATTCCATGCTTGCTTCAGATTACTGGAGGAAATAAATCATTCAATCTCATTGAAAAAGAAAAGCAAACTAAAGAAGGAATTACTGCTGAGAGGAAAGATGAGCTCACAATTTCTCCTTAGAGAGGCAAATACAGTAATTGGCACAGTTGGTCTTATTATATCCAGAGACAATCAGAAACATCATTTCATGGGATATTTGTTCATCTCCTGTTGCAGTGATCATATGTGAAAATTTTTTTAAAAGACTGCTATAAAAATTATTCCAGCTAATGCAGCAGCATCTGTTTCAGAGCAATAAAAAGTAGAGAAGTTCCAGGAAGAACTTGATACGACTTTCCGAGCGAAAACATAATATATTTTGGATAATTGATGGCTTCAAATCAAAGTAGGAATTCATGAGAATAGTGAAAAATACATTAGAAAACATGGATCAGAAATAAAGAATGAGAAGAGACAAATACTCATAGACTAAACAGGTGCGTCACATATATATCATCAACTCTATCTTCAAGAAGAATCAGTAGATGCTGGAGGTGCTATGTACTGATAACACCTCTCCCCCCAAAAATGAAATTGGTCACATTTCAATAGATGGAAAATGACTACTTACTTATGAGGGAGTCATTGCTAAATCAGTTGTCTGTACAGTTAGACCACCAACTTGTTAGAGCAAAACAACATTAACATGAATCTAGAAGGAAAAAAAATGCAAATAAAAAAAAATAAGATGTACCATTAAAACAACTGACTCATTCTGACTCATTCAAACTAATATTGACCACGAAAAATGGGTAATGGACAGAAGAAAAGCCAAAGACACAGACTACGATAATTTCATGCCAAGTTTAATTGATAAAAATCAATTAATTTCCTTAACAAGGAGAACAAAAAACACTAAAAGGTACCTTAATTAACAAACACTGGACTTATTTACCAAATCAAGATTTCAGCTAAAGGCAATATAAGTTCAGAATATGAACTCATGGGGCAGCTAAGGTGGTGCAGTGGATCGAGCTCTGGCCTTGGAGTCAGGAGAACCCTGGCATAACCTTTGATGTGAGAAGTATACATTCCTACTACCAACCATTCTAGTCCTCACTGATCACTGATGTGCATCCTATTTGCACAAAATAGTTACAATAGCAATACTGACTCTTAAACATGAAACATTTACAAAATGATAAAGCAAAAGCAAGGTGTCTTGGTGGTTTGGTTCATACCAGACCATGTAAAATAGCATCACTGATGTGGAAGATACTGGTCAACTTGATTCCAGGAGAATGGAAAACTGGAACATGTGTAGACATTCTGCATCAGGCTTTGGAACGGATAGGAGTAGTCTTTTTCCATTGGCTACATAGCCACCACTGTCTGCATCTTCAAAACTGCCTAACTGAGTACCATTGGGGCCTTGGTAGCATTCCTAAGAGTGAGACTCCTTCACTCACAGCCCATGAGGCTACAAAATAAGGAAGGAAGACCCCAGGGCCTTTCTCTCTCCTCACCCCTTTAGGCCATGTGGCCCCAAGAAAAGGAATTTTGGCTTTGTTAGGTTTTTTTTTTCCCTTTCCTTTCTGGGTACAAGGAGTAGAGTCTCTGAGCTAGCCTAGGATCTCTGGAGTACAAGAATCCAGGCTGGTTAGTGTAGCCAGCCTAATAGAGATACCCTGAGGAATAAGGGTAAAGATGAGCTTCGGACTTAACTTGGTGGGACTAATGCTATGTAAGAATTGAGCTAAACTGTGAGCCTAAACTGCCTCCCCTTCCCAGAGGCTAATT